GGAGATATGGGCGTTAATAGTGTATTAGGAAAGGCAGCGTTTGTCACTTGCATTGTTGTTGGGGTTGTTTCCCTATTTATAGCAGATAGGGACATTCAAATTGACAATAAGTGCTTTGTAAGGGATATTCTATTTTTTATGCTTGCCCTTGTGTCTATATTTTGGAGCTCAGTCACAGATTACGGCGAGAGGTGGATGTCGTTGGTGGATAAAAGGTGATGGCAAGCATAAATGGCAAGCATAAAAGGTGATGGCTGCAATAAATAAAAAATATGGGAAAAGTCCGCTAATGTTTTAGAAGTTTAGAACTTTTGATGCAATTATCCCTTTTATTTAAATCAAAGGGGCCCATGCCACGCATAATTTTCTCATGCCGTGTGGACCCCTATTTAACACTTAAAAAGAAATAATGAGCCATGTTACAACATTATCCCATGAAAGCCTGAGCCAATAGGCCCATTGCTTTACCACATGCACTGCCACGTACTTGACCAAACGTCTTTTCACTATTGGTCCTCATAGTTTCTAGTAATTTCAGCAATCTCCCCTAATTTTTGTTGATTTGCGTCCCATCGTGGAGCATTTGTTACGTTGAATAAGACCTAATTATAAAATAGAGAATAACATTCCATTCAACGTAGAAAAATATAATGTGTGTGTTTTTTTAATCAAAGGCATGTGATGTGATTCAAAACGAATATGCATTTGCAACACATAATGCTCATGTGTCTGTATGACTGCATAGCAATCGGATGATGTTAAGACTCGAGATTATAGAAATATCACGTGTTTGATGGAGGAGGGATACATAAAATCAAATTATTTGTAATACTAAATAGTAATTAAGGATTTTTTGTAATTCTAGAATATTAAGGAGGAGAATGTCATAATTAAAAAACTCAAGAGATTTAATAATGAAAGGGATATTTTAATTGTTATGATGGTACTTAATCTTTGTTCATTATTTTATTTATCTTCTCAATTTTTTCATAGCATTCTTATCGTTAATATTTTATTATTAATCTTGTATGTGATGATATTTTCCATCCAAATAAATTATTTGGAGTATGTAAAAGAGACTTATTTACCATTCGTGTTTTTAAATAAACAAAAAAATGAAAATAAATATTAAATTTCGATAAAACAATTTGCAATCCATTTCAAAGCATGCCAATAGAATATTTTGTCAGAACTGTTATCTGACACAAATGTAATAATTACTTAAAAGTTAAGAACATATGCCCCGTTTGAGCCTCCATTAAATTAAATTCTATTATATTAATTTTTTTCTCTTTTCATTTTAACTACACATTCATCAAATAAAATAATATTACACATAAATCTAAAACTTTTCAACCACACATTCTTCCGTCAATCGCTATTCTAAAAATTTTCAACTCCCAAAAATGGGGGCCAAACAGAGGTAATAAGAATGTGACGTAATTAACAAAAATTATGGTGTTAATATAATGGATAATACTACATGTACACACACATTTTTACACAATTTTTTACACCTCTCTCACATGGAGAGGGGTCCACGATTATTTTATTATGTGTGGGCCCCCCTCCATGTGAGGTGGGTGTAAAAAATTGTGTAAAAGATTGTGTACACTTAGCATTATTCATTTTTGGTGGGGTGCGCCAAGCCCAAGCTGTAGTGNAAAATGAAAATAAATATTAAATTTCGATAAAACAATTTGCAATCCATTTCAAAGCATGCCAATAGAATATTTTGTCAGAACTGTTATCTGACACAAATGTAATAATTACTTAAAAGTTAAGAACATATGGCCCGTTTGAGCCCCCATTAAATTAAATTCTATTACATTAATTTTTCTCTCTCTTCATTTTAACAGCACATTCATCAAATAAAATAATATTACACACAAATTTAAAACTTTTCAACCACACATTTTCCCGTCAATCGCTATTTTAAAAATTTTCAACTTCCAAAAATGGGGGCCAAACAGGGAATGTTACGTAATTAATAAAAATTGTGGTGTTAATATAATTATCCATTTGAAAAAAGAAAAAAAGAGTGTTGAAGTGACGTTGAGTACGTGTGGAAAGGCAATGTTGTAACGTGAATCCTTACTTTTTCAAGTGATTGAAAGGGGTCCACGCGGAGAGCAAATTAAGCGCGGGATGGGACACTCGAATTTCATTTAGGATTATGCACTTGAAAATGATATATTTTGGAATATTGTTTGATTAAAAAAGATGAATTTTTCTTAATATACGTTTAATATTATTTTATTGAAAAAAGTATTGTTAAAAAGAATAAAGAGAAAAAATGTATTAAAATTTTAATAAAGACCAAACAAATATATAAATTATAAGAAATTTTTGAATATGAACGAGATTTTGAAATTGGAGATTTTTCCTTTCCATGAATGGATATTTACGGAATTCAATTTAAGAAATAGGTTTGTGGGGGCCCGTAAGTTGAATTAGGGACCCTTAAAAATTTTTTCTCGAATATACCATATTCCATCGATAACTTTTCTATAAAATGTTATGAGATACTTTACTTTTTGAACGTTGAAAGCGTAGACTAAAATGATAGTGACGCGATTGGTATGCTGACTTGAAATAACTAAGGAAATTTATATGCAATAAAATTTATCAATTGTAATGACTAGTATGTTGTGAGAATTTTTAATTGTAAATTAATCTCAGTGATATATAAGTTTTACCAAAATCGTTTCTCTATTTTTTTAACAAACATTCCTTCTATAAATAATAAATTAAATAATAAAGAGATGTAAAAAAAAA